AGAAAGAAGATCCTAGATGGAAACCTGGAGAATAAAGACCATGAAAAGAGCTAATATGTACAAAGATCCAAATGAATACTGATGAATTATGTAACAATAATGTATAAGGTTTTAGATAAATATAGAACTAAATGCATGACAACAACAGCACGTATTTGGCAGGGTGTACGTGTTCTAAGGTCTTTGCCTTGACAAGGAAAAGGAAAAACACAAATTAACAAATTTATATTATACTTTGACAAGCTAAGGATATGTATTATAATTGTAAGGTAGTAAATCAGAGTAAAGGATGATAAGCACCAAGCTAACAGAGGTGGGAAACTGGAGTAATAAAAAAAAAAAAAAAAAAAAAAAAAAATCCAAAAGAATGTGGGGGAAAAAAGCATGGAGCAAGGACAAGTAAATGAGACAGATTTAAACCCGAATAGCAATACCAACATTAAATGCAAATAGATAATTGCTCCAATTAATCTGACAACGATCATTAGACCTGATAAAAATATATAATGGCAAGATGAGAGAACAGAACCTCAGCTAACTCTCTGGCTGCACAATTCTCTGTTTCAAATTTTCAGTCCTGGAAACTGAGGTTTCCAAAAGAATAAAACGTTTTCTCTCAATGAACTGAAGTAAAGATGGTAGCTGAAGTGGCCAAGAGTGTTAGAGGTCAGTCTCTAGTGGCCAGGAGGCCAAGAAGGCTACGCCTCACTTTCCTACAACAGAGGAGCAGAGTAAACAGCATACTGCCTCCATGAAGATATGTCAGGAAGTCTAAGAGAAATTACTTCTGATTTCTGTGTTCAAATAAATGAGAAGAAACTAACACCTCTTATAAAATCAATTTGCAAGTAAAAGAGCTAAACAAACATTTGTTTCATCCAGTTATTTCTAAGGAACACAAAACTACAGTTTTAACTGGAAAAATAACCAGGATAATTCCAGTACCTTACTACCCATCCTCAAGTAAGATTCTGAGGAACATGTAAACTATGTAAATTCAATCCTAATAGGAGAGGGAGATAAAAAAGCACACTTCTGACGGCTAAAACAGATAATCTTAGCTATCTACTGCAAGGCAGAAAAAGAAGAAATCTACCCACACAAGAAACTAGCTTAATGACAGTTATTACAATCTACTTCCAAATAAGTAGCTTACCTTTTATCTACAACTTAACAGATAAAGAAAGGCATAGATGCAAAGCTTGGTAAAGTACAACTTCATTTAATTTTCTATATTTCAGATCTTTAAATATGTGATCCCAAATGAGTGACTACAACACCTTGTTTTTATATATATAAATTTATTTATTTTTGGCTACATTGGGTCTTCATTGCTGCATGCGGGCTTTCCCTAGTTGCAGCGAGCGGGGGGCTACTCTTGGTTGCAGTGCGCGGGCTTCTCATTGCATTGGCTTCTCTTGTTGCGTAGCACGGGCTCTAGGCACGCGGGCTTCAGTCGTTGTGGCTCACGGGCTCTAGAGCACAGGCTCGGTAGTTATGGCACACAGGCTTTGTTGCTCCACGGCATGTGGGATCTTCCCAGACCAGGGCTCGAACCCATGTCCCCTGCATTGGCAGGCGGATTCTTAACCACTGTGCCACCAGGGAAGCCCCAAAACCTCTTTTAATTGATTATGTGACAGTGAGAACTCCCTTCATTTTAAGTAATCCTTCAGATTAACTATTCTACATCAAAACACAAGGATTCTATTCCATAAACTCTGTACCTTGGAACTCAGTAATCAAGATTTTACAGAAATAAAAAGGCATGGGGTTGTGGGGGGGTTGTTTACAGGCATTGGTGGGTGGGGTGGAGGAAGGTTTCTGTTTAAATAGATATGCAAGAGGGAATTCCCTGGTGGTCCAGTGGTTAGGACTCTACGCTTTCACTGCCAAGGGTCCGGGTTCAGTCCCTGGTTAGGGAACTAAGATCCTGAAAGGACCTAAGTCCCAAAAGGCGGGGCGTGTGGGCCAAAAAAAAAAAAAAAAAAAAGATATGCGAGCTATTGTGGTATACTAACTCAGAAACTAAGAACCTCAGGTTTTACAAGGATGTCATAAAGTTATCCGATTTCCAAATCAACATCTTGGGCTTCCAAGCTATTCTCAGCCATGAGGCACATTCTATTTTTAAAAGACTAGAGCCATCATCAGATGGCTCTAAATAGTTATACATCACCTCCTTATATTGAATTGAAAATTGTCTCTTTACAGTTTGACTTACTAATTCTATTGTCATGGCTTGTGTTCATCAAAAACTAATCAAACTAATATTTATACACATACAGCCCTTCAAATAGTTGAAGACAAGGTATCAGGAACCCCCATGTTCTCCTCTCCAAATCTATAATTTCACCTGCTATCTTAGGACATGGTATGGAATCTTTCTAATCCTTGCTACTATTCTCTAAATAAACCCAGATTTGTCTAAATAAACCCTTCTTAAAGTACAACCTCAAAATTCAACTCAGTAGATCAGATGTGGCCTGAAAAGCCAGACCACCACTTCCTTACCAAGTTGCTGACAAATCTAACAGGTCCCATTCCCTCCTACCCCTTCCCCTTCCCCATCCTTGTGTCATGTTACATCTCAAGTTTCATTTTCTTACTCTTTATGACCCTCAAGTTGTCACCATGGCCATCCAAGGCCCTAAATACTGTTCATGCTCCTTCTGTGACTCCTTCTTTCTGAGTCATACTTGCTAATCCTCCAAAGTCTATGAATCCCGATACTAGTAACTTGGCAATTGAGTTTAAGATCCTCTTAGTAAGGTCAGTTAGCTCAAGGCAATCACATTCTTCCCAGGCCTCTCAAGAAATACTTCAACCCTAGCAAAGGCCCTTCTTTCTGATATCAGGAACCATGGTTCAGAAACAAATCCAACAGAATTTCAGCCATTTACCTCCCAGATCATCCCCTCCCTGAAGTTCTACCTAAAGCAGGAAAATATAATGAAAACGCTATCTGCAGTCACAAGACCTTCAGTTTCCTGGTCAAGATTTCAGATTCCCTTAAAAGATATCTCTGAAAGACGAAGTAAGAGGGGAGGGGCCCACATCAGTCTTCAAAGATATTGATAAGGTTCTATTTCTTAAGCTTGGTGTTGGGCCTATGGGAATATGATTTAATATGATTGCTTAGATTTCAGGTTAAAAATATTTTGCATGTATTTTTTAAAAAGATACATTCTTAGGGTTTTTCTTCACCATATGCATCAGTAAAAATACAGTCACTAGCAATTTCAGTAAATATATACCAGATTCACTCTCTAGGAAGACAACCCAGTTGATAGCCACAATAATTTCTACAGTAACAAAGCTGTGGGAAAACAATGACATTTGACATTTGGGCTATTTGAAGAAAGTTCAATCATAAATGAGGATATAAGCCCAAACAAGAATATACACACACAAAAGCTAAGTAAGCAGCTTTCAGAAAATTACCCTTTTTGCAAGTATAAAAGTATCCTTTCATGTCTTTTGTTTTCTTCCTTCAAAACATCTCATATCCATCTATTCTCACCTATTCCTACCACTACCAACCTTCATTGCTCTTTCCTCAGATTAAAATCAAAGTCCCCAACTAGTCTCCCAGAAATCTACTCTATCCTATCTACTCTGATGCTGAAGGCATACTAATTCTTTTTTAAAAATAAAATAAAAAGCCTAACAGATCAATCATGCCCCTGCCTAAAAACCTCTGTTGGCTTTTTACTGCATTAAGGTAAGCTCCCAGACTCTTCATCATGATCTCCAAAGCCCTACAGTTTCCCTCACAGATTTCTCCCCAGAAAGACTACAGGCTCTTGAAGAACAGGGATTATGTAGATGCCCCATGTCCTCAAGCCTTCTATAGCACCTAGTGCATTGAAGTCCACCTAACTGAAATGGGGGGAAAAAAAAAAGTTTACCTGCAAGACAACTGTTACACAATTTTTTCTCAATTTCAAAGAACAGGTCAAAAAGAAGCTCCAAATAATTAAAATATAACCCCTTAGAAACACTTCCTACTTTTTTTAAACAAAGATTTAAAACCACTACATTTTACGTAGATTCCATTGCTTTAACCTTTATTTTTTAGCATCTTTTAAAAACAAATATAACACATAAATTTAGAAAAGTGCATAAAATATAAAGGTACACCATTACAAACTAGCATGAAATAGTATCCATGCAACTACCACCCTGGTCAAGAAACAGACTACAGTCAATAAACAAGAAGCCCCCATGTGTCCCTTTCAGCTCACAACTCCCTCCCCGCTTAGCTAGATGTACTTGCTATCCTAAACTGTATGGTAATCACATCTTCGTTTCTCTTGATAGTTTTATTGCCCAAGTATGAATCCATAAATATTTCTCATTTTTGTTCCACTAAGAAGCCTTTTTAGAATAATTTTTTCCTAACTCCTCCCCGTCCTGCTCCCCGACAAAACTTTTAATACCACAGACATACTGTGTATCTATTTATGTATTGTGGCCCTTTGAAGGGCTACAGACTATTGTAATATTTAAGACTTTTTCACTCCAAGGACCAATTTTCACCCCATTCGGGGGAATACTGCCTCCGATGAGAAGGCATGCTTAAATAATATAATTCAGTTTTACCTATTTTTGAGCTGTACTAATGAAATGGTACAAAACATGTTTTGGGAATATGGTTTCTTTTGCTCAACACTGTGTTTAAGATTCATCTATCTTGTTGCACATAGCTCTATTCCGTTTTATGAATACCACAGTGCTCCATTCTATTGGAACAGACACTTGGGTTATTTTTATTTGAGGCTATTATAAACAATGCTGCTTTGAACATTCTTGTGTTTGTCTCCTGGTGCATCTAAGTACTCATTTCTTGCAGGTTATATATCTAGGAGGAGAATTCCTGGACCACAGGATATGAGTATCTTCTACTTTACCAAGTTATACCAAATGGTTTTCCAAAGCAATTGTACAAATATACGTTGCCATTAGAAGCATATGGAGTCCCCTTACAATTTTCTTACCTTAAAAGAGAAGTTAAGCAAAATATATTCTATGCCTTCTTTTTCTTTTAAGATCTGAAGATCACTGTGCAAAGGACTATCAGGATCAACCCTAAGAATTACAAAACAAAAAACAGTTCAAACAAAAAGTCAGATTTTTTTTCTCACTAAACTCAAAAATGAACCATTCCAAGAGCTAAAACAGAGCCCCTAGGGTAAATTCCAAACAGAGAAGGTCTAAAGCTGCTCTATGGTTCCTGGAAAAACAAATTAACTATAGCCTCCAACGCCTTGGGATTAAATGTCCAAAAAGAGATCACAGTATTCTACACCTACTCTCCTAAGGGCATGCAAAGTTAGCAGTTATTCTAAAGGAAAGGGTCATATGTACATAATCTTCTCAAGAAAGTCTGCTTCTCTCAAACTGTATTATTAGACAAGGGGTTCAAGGAGAGAAATTTACCATGGACAAGACCAGAAAAAGTGAAATCACTAAAAAAATCTAAATTTGTCTACAACTGTTCTATATATTCAGGCCCTACTGAAATTTCTTATTTCAAATATAAACTGGTTGTCACAGTCAATCTCATCAAGTTATTTATACACTTTTGTTTGTATAGTTCCTAATTGTCTCATTAACTCCATGAAACACTTTTTCCCACAGCTGGCTCTTCTTTTTCTCCTCCTTCTTTCTCACTTTACTTATTAAGCCCAAGAAACAACTCATTTTAACAACCTAAGAACTATTTCTACAGAAACAGTAAGTAAAAGCCACAGTAAATAGGTATCAAATTAAGGGGGAAAAAAATCTCCACTGTGATAGTCTACCATTAAAAAGAGTGGATTAGCATAAAAAAGCACTTACTTCTGCAGTTTAACATGCCAGTCATATAAACTGTCATTTATGAGTTCCACTGAATAAATCCCTGTAAAGGTATAGGGCATGTTAGTTACTCTTCATTTGATCTTATAACTATTGCTCTGGTGTAAATATATACACTAAATCGCCAACAAAAGCTACGAATTTTGCCATTAAAACATGGAACAACTAAGCTGCATTATAAATATTTTGGTGCTGGAGCTGAGTATCTTATACCGTTAACAGATGAACAACTAAAGCCATCAATGAAGAGGATTTTTGGGGTTGAAAAACTGTTTACCATTAATTGTAAGAGGAAAAAAAAGCTTATGCAAAATCATATGTACTTAAGACTTTTCTCCTATGCATATATGCAAACAGTTCTATTAAAATGGAATCCCTCTACATACAGTTTTATAATCTTTCTTCAACTTTTTGGGACATCTTTCCATTAGAATATAAAAATTTATTGTCAATCTTTTTAATAACTGTAGTAATTTATTTTATGGATAAGCCATAACTTAATTCCACCATATAGCTGGTTATTAATTTAATTTTTTGCTACTACAAATAATGCAGTAACAAACAAGTGATGACTGAACATTTTAAGGTAAACCAGTATTCAAATATTTAACTTTATTATGTTTCTACACACAAACTTTTAGATTTCTTATAAGAGGAACTGTTAGGACACCAAAACTTCTAACAACCTCAGAAACAAATTTGACTTATCTTGGACTCTATAAAGTAGGGGGTTTTTTTTGCTTGTTTGTTTTTAAGTAAGCTCTAATGATTTAGACTTGATCACTCCGAAAAATTCTTAATGGATCATAATGCTACCTTTTCAAACAAACTAAAGTTTGGCTCTTTCTCTTATTCAATACTGTTAGACTCTCTGCAATAATCTGAGGGAATTTTATTTCAATTAGAGAGATTCCATAATATTTAAGCCTTATTGGGTAAGAAAGAACTCTTAAGTCAAACTATAAATTTTTAAAAGTAATACCATTAACTACAATAAGAATTGATTATGTTGTTTTCAAAAAAAGGAAAAAAGAACATAAAAATCAACTTGACAACAGTTCTCTGTTCATACAATAAACATATACTCATTTATTTTCCAAAGCATATATTTCTTGTACCTTTCCCAGAAGATAAAAATCATGAGTTAATCCCCATCAGCAAAAGATAAAAAATTATGTGTCCATAAAAACATTTTTAAAAATCCAAACAAGTGAACTCATCCTATTTTACCCCGTCTTTTGGTAACTTGATTAAATTTGTGTTTCACATTCCTAAAAGTTAATAAACATTTCTGTTTCTGTCCAGTTATACTATAAGAAATGAAGTTACTATCTGAAAATTTAAAAGGGCATAAGGACAACAGCAGAGATCCAGAGGTCCTTACCTGTTTTATAACTCTGTGATCTGTATATGTCCCTGAGCTCTTTCATAAGTCTATCTGAAGCTTGTACAGACCCAGACACTGCACCCTGAAACATAAAATTTGCTGTTTACCAGGATCTACTGATTTAAATAACTAAAGATTTAAGGTATCTGAACCTGAAATAAACGTTTACAATGATATCGTAAAAATGGATCACCACTCAACATTTTAAGAAGTCAAAAAAGTTAAGTTCAATTAAATCAATGATCATGAAGTTTCAGTAGGAATATAAATTTGGGGCAGGTCTGATTCATTTACTATTTGTCATCTGAAAAAAAATAAATAAACAGCTAACCTATGTTCAGATCACCATGGCCACTCCAATAGCCTAGAACTAGTAAGGGTCTATTTCAAATTCCATCAATTAAAAAAAAATTTATTAATTTTTTTCTTCTTTACGATTTTATTTGGGGTGGGCAGTTTTAGGTTCACAGCAAAATTGAGAGGAAGGTACAGAGATTCCCCATATAGCTGCCCCCCACAGTGCATAGTCTCCCTCATTATCAGCATCCTTCGGAGGTACATTTCTTACAACTGATCAACCTATTTGGACACATCATTACTCCTGAAGTCCATAATTTACCTTAAGGTACCTTTACCTTTTGGTGCTGTACATTCTATGGATTTGGATAATGACAAGTATCCGCCCATCATAATAACATACAAAGTATTTTCATTGCCCTAAAAGTCCTCCATGCTCCGCCTATTCATCCCACCCCCCACCCCGAAACCCCTGGCAACCACGGATCTTTTTACTGTCTCCATAGTTTTGCCTTTTTCAGAATGTCATACAGTTGAACAGTCTGCAGCCTTTTCAGATTGGCTTCTTTCACCTAGTAATATGGATTTAAGGTTCCTCCATGTCTATGTCCTGTCCTTGACAGCTCATTATTTTTTTTTTTTTTTTTTTTTTTAGCAGGGACTAATATTCCACTGCCTGGATGTACTATAGTTTATTTATCCATTTTCCTACTGCTTCCAAGTTTTGGCAATTATGAACAAAGCTGCTATAAACATCTACGTGCAGGTTTTTGTGTGGACGTAACTTTTCAATTCATTTGGGCAAATACCAAGGAGCTCAATTGCTGGATTGTATGGTAAGAGTATGTTTAGTTTTGAAAGAATCTGTCAGACAGTCTTCTAAAGTGGCTGTGCCATTTTGCGTTCCCATCAGCGATTAGAAAAGTTTCCTGTCGCTCCACATCCTCACCAGCATTTGGTGTTTTCAATGTTCCAGATTTTGGGCATTCTAATAGATGTGTAGTAGCTCCATGCATTTTTGAAAATACTAGAAGACCCTCAATGTGATACATTAACTAAAGCAGGTCCCTTAATCAGACTATAAAAATCTTATACTAACAATCTAGTTTACATATTAAGAAATTGAGAAACAACATGTCCACATATATGCAACTGGTTTCAGTTCTTTTCAGTGTTCCACCTTCTCTGAAGATGAAAATGCACCAGTATCTTATCCTAAGACTGAATATGAATGGAACTATTTATCGTAAGACAAAAACATTTAGAATGTCTTCTGAATTAAAAAAACCTGACCTTGTAAAATTTTAAATGTTGCTCCTTCAAAAGTTGCACTACACTTTGAGGTGGGGTAGAAAATCAGGTTTACAAAAGAAATCAAATGGGAAGGCATATAAACGTTAAAAGACTTTGCTTAGTTTGTCATGTGATAGTGTTCAATAATTTGTAGTTGTTTTGACTATAACACACAAACTGGAAGCAATCACAAGATACAGAAAGTATCGTAAATATCTTTAACTTAGATACTACAAGCTTTTTTTAAAAAAAATAATCAAGATAAGGACTTGGCTAAATTTCTTTGCTCTCTAAAGAAAGATTTGCCAATTACATTAATACAGTAAATAGGACTGAAGAAGTGAGAGTAATCTACCTGTTTACAACACTTGTCATCTCCTTGCATAACAATTCATTCCCTGTGTTTGAGAACCTATGCTCAGGACAAAAGAACTGGTTCTCAGATTTCATGGGTTTGATAAATAGCTCTAAAACAAAGGCAGTAAGTAAATAATAAGTATTGAGATGGATAGCTAGACTTTCGTTTGATATTTCCCTACTCTGGGCATTTTATATACATCGGTCTCATTTATTATTTACAGGAATCATCTAAATGGTACATAATGTCCACATTATAGAATTGAGGAAAATGAAGCCACACAGCTGTGTTTGTCACCATGCTGCTTCACATAAAAGATGTTAAGTCAAAAGAAAAAATTACTTTTGGTTCAGTCAGGACAGGACAAACCAGATGGCAGCTTCATGAAGAAGAAAGAATTTGAATTATACTTTGTACGAGAGACTGAATTTAAATTTGCACATCCCACAGGAGAAAGGTAAGGAGAGAAAACAGGATAAACAAGTTGGAAAGTCAATGATTTCAGATGAACGGGGTAGAAAGTGCCTATCAATAGATAAGAAATGTTGTGGGGGGGGGTGGGAAACTAGGGCAACAAAACATATGGCTGAATCTACAACCAAGGCAGGGATGGAGGGGGGTGGCTTTGATTGGTATCTTATTGAATTGCCCTGTATTTATATTATTCCTATACAGCTGACTCTTGAACAACACAGGTTTGAACTGCGTGGATCCACTTACATGCAGATTTTTTCAATACGTACTACACAATCTGCAGTTAGTTGAATCCTCGGATGTGGAACCGTGGATATGGAAGGCTGGCTGTAAAGCTATACGTGGATTTCGGTGCAAGGTCAGCACCCCTAACCCCAGCATTGTTCAAGGGTCAACTGTAATTACTTAACCACAAAAGTCCAGGTTCTATACATTTACACATACTTACATTTAGATGGTCTTGCCTTTGAGTCTTCCTAATTTTCTCTAATATTGCCAAATTTTCTTTTTCAATTCCTTCATCCTCTGACTTTTTCCCACTAATAGGCTCTTCTTCCTTCATTTCATAATGATCTAAGTCTTCTATATCCTAAAAAAATTTAAAAATTTAGCTTATTCAAGCTCATGTCAAAAGCTAAATTCTTCCTGACTCAGAGAACAAAGAGAATACATGTATCCTAAAAAAGCCTTCACATTCCATTCAAAAGGTTCTCTCCTTTTATATACTATACTTTAAAGCTAGAATCTGAGTAAAGCATATTTAATAGTTTTACAAAGCCATAACTACTACCAAATGAGCCATCTTAAATTGCTTTAAATCTCCTATTAAAGGGAACTTTTGCAACAGTTTAGCATGAGGTACCAAGAACCATAACTCGACTTCTAGAAATCTATTAGATTCAGTTTAGAAATTAGTCTAAAATGTGAACACAGATTTAGGCATAAAGATGCCTATTTCAACTTTATAACCACAAAAACAAAATCTTCATGTGCAAAATATCAGAACAGTTAACTTAATTCAATGGAATACTGGAAGACCATTAAAATGCCAACACAGCATAATGGTTTCTTCTGTATCAATAATGAAATGAAAAACACAGAATACAAAAATGAATATATAGAATCTTAGTTATGCCAAAATAAGCACAGAAAAAAAGAATATGAGGACACATACTGAAATACTAATAATTATCAATAGAGACATTTAGTGCTTTTCCTTTTCCAAGTTTTCTGTAGTGAGCACCTATTGATTTTTATAATTAGGAAAAAAGTTAGAAAAAGAATTTGAGTATCGCTAAGCCAACATCTTTAATCACTACAACATTCTTCTCCCTCCCTTCCCTTAGCATCAGCTCTTACAAATTTAAAAATTCTGCATAGATTTGTATAATAAATCCTAACCTTTTTCTATTACCTTTCTTCTAACTTTACCTCAATCATCAAAATCTCTAAAGAAGTAGTTTATACTTTATCTCCACTTTATCAAGCAGACTAATTCACTGTGATTTCTAGACCAGGTTAATAATTTAGACCACTTTCGTCCAGACTCAATGGTCTTTTTCTTGGACTGCCATCTCTTCAGCTCCTATTACATTCCTTTCTTATTCATACCGTGTCTATGACTGCATGCTTCATGGAGCTCCCTCCCCCTGGTTTGCACCTTTCAGCTACAATTTTCCGTCCTACACTTGTTTTCTTCAGAGTTCTCACAAATACCCTTGGCCTGTACCTCCTCCTCCTCCTCCAACTTCAACCTCAGTCATGTTCTAATCCACAAAATTTCTCCACTTGAGTATTAATCAACACAGAATTCATCATTATCATCTTTACAAAACAATATTCACTGTACACTATTCTCTGCTTAAGGCCTTACCAACAATCATACCAAATATAAACATATTTGTCTCTAATTCAAGACTTAGCCATCTGCCTTTTCTAGCCAAACTTGCTTTCCAAGACTCCAATACAGCAATGTCCTTCTCCCAAAAGGACAGCGTCCAATGCACCCAAACACACCATGCCCAGGGTTGTTCTGGGCCTTTTTACCACATTATTTTAGTTGCCTAGGATATCTTTTCACCTATCCTAATTTGACATCTCCAAAGTCCATCCCACCTTTCTAGATTTCCCTAAATGCTGCTGTCCTTTCTTCATATTATCTTGTGAGGGGAAAAAAGAAAGATACATAAACTCTTTGAGTACAATGTCTACTTTATTGTACATTGGACCCATGGTAAAGGTTTAATTTTTCTTTTTTTCTTTTTTATTTATTTTTGGCTGTGTTGGGTCTTTGTTGCTGTGCACGGGCTTTCTCTAGTTGCGGCAAGTGGGGCTACTCTACGTTGAGGTGCACAGGCTTCTCATTGTTGTGGCTTCTCTTGTTGCAAAGCACGGGTTCTAGGTGTGCGGGCTTCAGTAGTTGTGGCACGTGGGCTCAGCAGTTGTGGCTCACGGGCTCTAGAGAGCAGGTTCAGTATGTGTGGCGCACGGGCTTAGTTGCCCTGCGGCATGTGAGACCTTCCCAGACCAGGGCTCGAACCCACGTCCCCCTGCAATGGAGGGCAGATTCCTAACCACTGTACCACCAGGGAAGTCCCAGTTTAATGTTTTCTTGCAGTTTATTCCTAAGTTAAACTGCATGAAAACATTAAAAAAAAAAATCTATCCCCCCAAAAATCATTCTAACTGGACAATGTTAAGAACTATTTTACTTCCAGACTCACAAAACAAACCAACAACTACTTTAGTTCTAAGGCATTCTAAGAAGTGTATTTTAGCTTTAAGGTAATAACCTAAATTAATTCTAAGATCCAAACAGAAAAATGTTTTAAAACCAAGACTGTGGAACTCAAATCCCTTGTATCAGGTCAATGTAGAGACACAGATTCTTCATTATGAAGTTTGAATTTAAATGCAAAGACTCAGAGCCTGAAAACGTCTAAAATTTTATCAATGGCTGGCAACTAAACTGACTTAAGCTCAGTGTCTTTGGAATTTCCTCTTTGATATTCTTAGATGATTTTTCAACATGAGATAGTTTTCATTACTTCTAGTGAATAGTCACTGAAATGTGGTCAAATTCTCCTTTTATTCAAACACAAAAATTCTGAAACTTCGTAGTTCCTATTCTTAAACCAAATCAGGTTAAGTACTGATTACTATTAAATGTAAATATAATTTTAGTGCTAAATGTTAAGAGCTCTTATTTTCCATGAAATAAAATCCAAGGACATCAGATAAGAAATTTGCTAAAAAGTATACGATGAATTAGAGGTAAAGCCAGATTTTAGAAATTGTATTAAATTACAAATTCAATGTGCTTCTCATTATTCCACATTAACAATGGTTTATAAAGGAGATTAGAAAATTAATAAAATGTTCAAAAGTGAAGATAGTTATGAAATGTTATTCTTATATAAAATACCTACTTCAGCCATCTCTTCCTCTTCCTCCTCTTCTGAAGTCACTTCTTCTGCTGTCCCATTCTGCAAAGAGAAAAGAGTTTGCCAGGACTACACAGAATAAGTAAGCAAACACTGAGTACTTCAGAAGATTTTAGGGACAAAGTATCAATCATCTGTCACTGCAGTTCCACTAAGAGCTTATTAAAGTTGAAACATTTACTTTTAAATTCAGCTTTGATTTGACAAATAATATGTATCAGCTTTTTAAGAACAAGCAATTTTGAAAAATTCAACTTAATAGATGCCTTAGAAATTAAGAAAGGCAATTAGTCAAATATAAAGCAAAACAGAAAAAAAATTTAAACATATTCTAATTTAAAGTCAGAAAACATTTTACACATATAGCTACGTGTATAAGGCTAATGGTTTCTTTTGCTTAAAATACCCCAGACGATGGGTTTCTTAAAATATCTACCTTTTTAGCTTTGAAAAGCCTGAATCTTTCCATAAATTCTACTGGCTTACATTTTAAAAGGTCAAATGTGTTACACAGGCATAGACACTGTACAAAACTAAAAGTTACAAAGTGATCACCATTTCACTAAGGAGCTATTTTTCTTTTTTTTTTTTTTAAACAACATGTCATTTACCACAATATTTCTGTATAAGACACAATTTAACACTCATTCACAACGAATCTGACGAGGTTTCAAGAAGGGCCTTCATACCTAGTTTTGTCAGAGTTCATAAAGACAAGCTTCCTGGACCACAGCACAGTTCTCTACGACACAATATATAAAAATTTAGTAGGATTTTTTTCCCCTAGAAATTCTTGCTGTATTTGTTCCAACTACAGCTGGTAAGGATCACACTCATATAGGACGCCAACCTTGCTGGCCTCTTAGTGTGTCAGAACCAGAGAGAAAAGACAATTTTTTAATGTAACTCAATGCAGCAGCAAAATTTCTTAACAGATTTATCTCTCCCTTTTACTCAGGAGTTGTAAAAGTCCACCTGCCAGCACGTCCCCATTCACGTGCCACAGGCAGAGCACAGGTGTGCAAAACCAGAAAGGGGAGGCCATAGCACAGAAGACTGACAATTGCTGAGGACACTCATAACAACTGATACTGATCAATGGTATACCTCATCTATAAATGAGTAGATAACCAAGCATCACCAGATATTTGAAGAAAACTAGCAATCTGAAAGAAAGGCACCAAGTTGAACAAGCAGAAAAAGTGACCTGAAGCATTATTAATGAAGGCAATAAAACAGAATTTAAAAATCTAATAATTGGAATCTTTAGCAGTAATTGAGAAGATACTGCATCCACAAAACCTAACAAGATTATTATGTAAAGAACAAGAAAGTTCTGGAAAATCAAAAAGATCTCCCCTCAAAGAAAAAAAAAACTCAGAGGGGCCAGAGAGAACAATGGACCTAAATGAACAAAATATTTATGACTGAAGAAGACAACCAAACTGTGACATTCCCCTAAAATGTGGAGAAAAAGGAGGTGGGAGACGGGGAGAAGGTGATTAAAATAAGAGAAGAGTTAGGGAAATGGAAATAGGAATACAGAGATCCAATATTCATCCATCATTCATTCAGAAGATGAGGGAAAGGGACAAATGTTGCCAACCTAAAGAAGGACTTCATAATAGCAAGTGGCTCTGAATGCCCCAAAGGAATGTTGGAAATTAAAACCCCATACTTCACAGTTAAAGAAAAAAACCATGCCGACTTCCAGAAAGAAAAAATATAAAGAGCTAAGAATCAGACAGGCATCAGCCTTTTCATCTGTAACAACAAATACCAGAAGAAAAAAGTGTAAAGAACTTGGAAGAGACTCAATTATGAACTTAGAATTTGATATCTAGTTCTATCAGGATGGGAGCCATACCTGTGTTTGTTCAGCACTGGATCCTCAACATTTACATAGAGTACATAGAGTGCTTTACACAGAGTCAAATAAATATTTGTTAAATGAATAATAAAAACAGACACAGTATTCAAGGAACACTCTTCATACACATCCCCACAAATCCTTTCTAGAAAAAAAGACATTATTCAGGGATATAGTTCAGAAAGGGGCAACCATGGAATACAAGAAACAGCAATAAGCGGAGACAACAGCAACATCAATGGTTAAGTCTAAGCAATTGCTGCTAATGCAGCTGAAAGGTTACAGGCCATATTCTCTGACCACAGTGAAAAACGAAAAACCCCAAAGCTGTCTGAGAATCTCTAAAAACATTTTTTTCTAAATAATTCTTGAATTTAAGAAGAAATGGACCCTCATGCCCCAGTAATCCACTCTTAAATACATGCCCAGAGACATACTTGCACGGGTGTACCATGTACTACAGACAAGAATGATCATGGTAGCACTGTTCCTAATAGAAAACTGGAATTAACCCAAATGTCAGTAAACAGTCAAATGGATAAGTATGTTATGGTACATTCAAACAATGGAATAAATACAGCAATGTAAAAGAACTACAGCTACACACAATATAAATGAATATACTCACAATGGTGAGCAAAGACAAACATGAAAGACTACATAGTATAACTTAATATGAAGCTCAAAAAACAGGCAACACTAAACCATATTGTTCAGGGTTGCATATATGAGTGATAAGACTAGAGAAAAGTAAGGAGAGGATTAGCATACAAGGGAATGATAATCTGAAAGGAGCCTGCAGAAGATTCTGCAGTGCTAGCAATGTTCTATTTCTTCACCTGGGTGGTGGCTAGGTGGTATAGTTGTCAGGTATTCACCATAACTTTTATACTAAACTTATGTCTATATGCTTTCAATACATATTATTTCGAACTTTTTCTTGTAAAATATAAGAGTGATACGAACAAGAGATGGAATCAAACTACTTAGAAAACACAAACTATTTAGAAAGTAAGTATACTAAATTTTAAAACCTGTGCAATAAAGTCAAACAGCACTCGGAAAAAAACAAACACCCTTACATGTTTGATAAAAAAGCACTTTAAATCATATTGATCCAGTAAACTAAAAACGTAAAAGGAGACATTATTAAGACTGGACTGAAAAATAAAAACATTCAATTTAACAAATAAAACTAAGGGCCAGTTCTTTCAATAGACCATTATAATAAAACAGACAAGCCTCTGACAAGTAATCAAGGAAACTTCAGGATTATAACCACAGATGAAGCTGATGCAAAAAGTGAATACTCTGCACATCTTTCCAAGAGCTTCAAATGTATAGATGAAGTTACCAATTTTTTAGAACCTAAAATTACTAAAACTGACAGAAGAAATGGAAAATCTAAATAGACTAATACACAGAAGAGAAAAATGGATCAGGTTCAGATCTTTGTTTAAATCAGGCTTTCTCAACTTTGGAACTATTGATATTTGGGGCCAAATAATTCTTTGTTGTGGGGAACTGTCCTGACATTGCAGGATGTTTAGTAACATCCTGTTTACCCACAAAAAGCCAACAGCACACTCCTCCAACCCGGCCAGCTACGACAATCCAAAATATAGCCAGATACTTCCAAATGCCCCATGGGAGGCGAAACTGCCCCCAGTTGAAAATTACAACTGTCCTAGATCTTAGGAAAAAAAACAAAGGCTTGGGGCTTCCCTGGTGGCACAGTGGTTGAGAGTCCACCTGCCGATGCAGGGGACACGGGTTCGTGCCCCGGTCCGGGAGGATCCCACATGCCACGGAGAGGCTGGGCCCGTGAGCCATGGCCGCTGGGCCTGTGCGTCCAGAGCCTGTGTGTCAGGAGCCTGTGCTCCGCAACGGGAGAGGCCACAACAGCGAGAGGCCCGCGTTCCGCAAAAAAACCAAAAACAAACAAACAAAAAAACACAAAGCTTCCCAAGTCATGAGACTGCTTATACCCTGATACCAAAATGAAGCAAGAAGAGCTTAAAGGGAAACAGACTATATTACAATCTCACTTAAAGTATAAAAATCCAAAAATAAAGTATCACATCTATTGTGTTCCACCCCCAACTACCAACCTATGTAGGCGCCGAACGTTTATCATGGGAATGCAAGGATGACTCAAAATTAGGAAATTTCTTCATGTAATTCACAAGTTATATCTTGTGAATGGAATTAAATGCAGTCGTGAAAAACAAGGTAGATCTATATGTACTATGTCCACGATATATTAAGTTAAAAACCTAAGTTGCAAATATTCTAAAGAAGCAGATTGAACATAAAATATATTCTTCTCCCATCTCTTTCCTGAGGCTCCACTAGAATTACAATGAAGACATACGATGAAGAATAAACACTGTACAAACACATAATGGTAACAAAAAATAAAAGGGGGCTACCAGCAGAAAAAAGAATTCACTCATGCTAGAAGATGACAGTGAATGGAAGAATGGTAATTAATGGAGCAAACAAGTAAAGCCATAGGGTAGGGGATAATCAGGTGGCTAATTTGTCCCACAGCACCCTGGAGAGGCTCTAGACTCAGACACAGGTACATTTCGACAGCAGGAGTGATGGATAGGATTGAAAATGTAGATTAACTGAAAGCCTATATACAGAACAAACTGTCCAGCCACCAAAACACACTGCTCTCCTTAAGCAAAACTCAGGCATACATATCTACCTCAAGCAAGAGATTATAAGGTTTCATGTCCAGAGAAACCAAATAGTTCCAGCCATCATTTATGATTATGCCAGGAAATAGGGGGTGGGGGATAGGGGGTTGAAGTCAGCTTAAATTCCTCCTAAAAGCGATCAGTTGACAAGTCTTGGCAACAAAGAACTCCCAATCAGCCTTTCAGTACACCTCTCTCAAATATGAATGAAGAAGAGGAAGGAAAAAACATGAATAAGCAACAGAGAATAAATAGATATATGAGGAAAGTCTTCAGAAAGAAAAAAAAGACCAAGATAAACTAAAAAAAAAATTATTAAAGACTTATTAAACTTATTAAAGAAAAATAGAGATGCTTGAGGGAGAGTATCAAAGTAACTCCTTAAAGACACTCACGAATATATTACATTGATAAAAACAAAAACAGAATGCATCAATAAGGAATAATCAGAGAACAAGAACTTATGGTTCATCTTTGGAGAGGAGCCACAATGAACGACACCTCCCAGCATTCATCCCTTATATGGACCCCTCCCACCATATGGGCTGGCCCTGGACTTGCTTTAACCAATAAACATGGTAGAAATGACACTGGGCCAGTTCCAGATCTAAACCTTACGAAACCCTGGCAGCTTCCACTTTTGTGCTCTTAGAAGCCAAAAATAAAAATTCTGACTACCTTCCTAAATAAAGAGAAGCCACGTAAAGAGACCCTGGAATGAGGAGATGTCATGTGGACAGAAGGGCCATGTGAGGAACAGCAAGGCACCAGACATGTGAATGAAGAAGGCATGCTGGACATTTCAGTGCAGTCATGTGTCCAAATAACTACCAGTCCCAGCCACTATCTGACTGCACAGTGAAGTCAGCAGAAAAACTGTCCAGCTAAGCCTAACCAACTCACACAGTCGTGCGAGATAGAACTGTTGTTTTAAGCCATTAAGTTCTAGTGTAACTGGTTAAGCAGCAATAAATAACCAAAATAAAACTTAAAGTTATGACTGTTCAAATAAAATTTCCAGAAGTTGAAAGATAAGAAAAATGTTCCAGAATTTGAAATTAAGACAAAGAGACAGAATACAGTGATAATAAGAGATACAAAGACTCAAATGAGGAGGTCTAAAATCCTATTAGTAGGCATTCCAAAATGAACAAATAAAGACTGGAAAGGAGAAAGTTACCACAGAAAAAAATACAAGAACATTTACCCAAGAAGAAAGATTCAAGAATCCAAATTTGAGAAGGTCCATCCATACTGAGTACCCAAACAAAAAAACTCAGTACACCACTGTGATATTTCAGAACAGCAGGGAAAGGACAAAGTCCTAAAAGCTTCCCGAAGTTGCACAGAGATGACTAAGACTCAGAATGGCATCAGGCTTCAATACCATTGACTAGAAGACAACAGCAGTTACCATTTATTCTCAGGGAAAATTATTCTCAACTTAGAATTATATATTCAACCACACTATCAGTCAAGTGAAGGCAGTTACCATTTATTGGGCATTTACTATGCATCAGGAACTGCTCTAAATGATTTACATGCACCAACTCATTTAATCTTTATAGCTCTCCCCAAATATAGGTATTACTACCATTTCCCCATTTTGCAAATGGGAAACTGATGTACATATTGCTAGGTAATTAGCCCAAGCTAATTAGGTAATTAAACCAAGATTCAAACCCATGGTGGTCTGGCTA